TATATATATACAGTAAAACATGCAGTGTATGTTTATGCACTGCATAATATAGCAAGTACTGTATGCTGAAGTAGATTTCGAAGAGAACAAACTTTTGGTAAAGAATTAAAACTATCTCATTATGTTTCAATGTGGAATTCTTTGTAAATTTATTTATTTACCAAATTTCTCTCTGGGATCAAAAAAGTATTTTTGAATTTGAATTTGAATTGAATTTGAATTTAAAATGTGTGAAAACAATAGACAACAAAGTCATAGCACGCTATTCCTGATTAATCTAAACATTTTGATTTATAAAAAGCTTAAAAAATACAAAATAAGTAGAACAAAATAAGTTATATAATAATAATAATAATAATAATACAAAAATAAGTTTGAGAAGAAACATAAAAATCAGTAAACAATGGTACAATTTTTACTCAACATTCACAATAGAAAAAAGTACATAGATCGATGTAAATAGGAATGCATGTGATGCTACGTATATGAGTATTTTAATTTGAGATTAGTTAAACTGTCTGCAGTACTTTTTTATTCTGATAGAAGCAGCCACTAAGTAATTCAGAGTTAATGCCCATTTATTAACCCAACACAAGAAACACATGATCTGTATAAAAGTTTACATTAGAGGCCAAGCAGTGAGCGTCTACTGTGTCCAAGCTGCTTTAGATGAAGTCTGTTTCTGTTTTAGGATTGGGACCAGCATGTAAAAGGAAAACTACATCTGCAAAATCAAACCTTGTACACAAATGAAAGGTAAGTTAATACCAAATGTTGTGAACCTAAAATGTGATCCAGCCCCATTTTATTTCTGAAATGTGCTTTGTGTTTATACAATAAACCGCACTGCGTGATTCATTTTGTCTTTTCACAAGCAACACTGGCTGAAATGTTTGTCTTTGCCATTTAACGGCCGATCTTTGGCCTCTTTGAACCAAACGGCGCAGCAGTGTGTCCGTCAGCTTGTCTTGAGTGTTGGGACCGTCCCTTTTTCCTTTTCTTTACGCCGCAAACAGCTGCCTTGATCTCCCTATGAATATGAGCTCTGTCACAAGATATGAGCGAGCCAGGCAGGGGAGAGGAAGCTAAAATCAGCCTTCTGTGATTGTTGCAGCTCAGCGGCTCAGTATGCGGTCTCGAGGCCTTCTGATGGAGCTCTGAACCCAGGAGGAACCAACTCAGTCTGCTCTGCTACCAGCCAAGGTAGGAGAGCTCATTCGTCACCACCCCCAACCATCTAACTCTGTCTGTCTGTCTGCTGATAAAAGAGCAACTTTTCATGAACCGCCGGAGAACGTGAAAGAGACTATATTGAGTTACAGGAGAGTGTGAGACAGCAGGTTTTATAGCTTTTCAAAGTGTATTTTGATCCATTTGGGTCTCCTGTGAGAACAAATCCAGACAGAATAGAATAGAGATAGCCTTTATTGCACCACAGACAGTATTATTTGTGAGATTTTATTGTTACAGAAAACAATAAACTCATGACTTCTGTCATTTTGGTCTCTGAACAAGAGCCAACATGTTGGCTGTCACATCAGAGGAGGAGCACACAGACAAACGTCCTCTGGGTGGTCCAAATAACGTGAAAGACCACTTGTTGCTAACTCTTTATACATTTTTCATGAGACATTATGGGATTAACTATTATTGGTTGCTTGTATAATTACTGGTCATCACCATGAGTCTGTGTGGCTGTCTTTTAACAAATATCTCATGAACCAGTGGATTTTAATTGAGACTCTCAGTAATTGTTACATCAACAACTGATTGCCTTTTGAAGTCAGCCCACAAGACAGTGCTTATACAGATACTGAGGTCAAATTTGGGATAGTCGTAGCTGAGAGTCGTCCCCAACATACAGTTTAAGCACTGGAGATTTTACAGGATCTTTAAATTAACTGCTGGAGTCAGACTTCTTTGTCCTTTAGCAAAATATCTCAGTAACTGCTGGCCAAATACGAAGAGATCTCTAAATGTGCATTTACAAGTCACCCCAATTCAAAATGGCCACTGCAGCTAATCAGCTTTAGCAAACACAAAACTGCTGTAATTCTATCAGTTTTACAGAAACTTCATCTTATAAACTTTTTTTATAAACTTATAAACTTTATTCATTTCATTAAACATAAAACATAAAACAAAATTCTATGTACATTAAAAAGAAAAGACAAATAAAATGAAATGAAAGGTGGCAGAGAGAAGAAAAAATCTTACAATATCTGCCCCTTTTTTCCCTCAAATATAGATTCAAACTCTAATAATCATCAGTTAACAAAACAAAAACATTGAAACTTTCTAAAACAACAAAGTGAATGACTACATCTTAAACTATTTTATAATTTTAACAGTCCAGTCTTTATCATTCTCTTAAATATGCACATTGATGTGGCACTTTTAACAGTGGGCCTCATGCAAGAACATGTTCGTATTCTTATCCTAAATTTCTCTTACTTTTGTTCGTACAAAGGGTTCGTACGAGCATGTCACGTCAGATTCAACAAACTCTTCTATCTTCAGGAAAAGTGTGTAAATGAGCTGCGTAAATTCCACCTGTTCTATCCAGCTGCTCGTGCACGCGAGAGGAGATTAGCATAATTACCACCCCAAAAACACCATATAAGGCTATGTTTCCTGCCTCAGATATCAGGAAGTGTCCATTCATGAAAATGACAGCAATAATTAAAAATAAGAACTTTACAAGTTCAGAGATTGAAGTCCGTCTGTCAGAGATCCAGAAAAGAAAATCTGTCATTTTTAGCAGGTCAGCTGTGGAATAAAAAGAGCTGCTAAAGTATAAACAACTGAGTTAAATCATTTTAATTAATTCAGAAGACACAGCGCTGCGCACCGTACCCCCCCGCGGTCTCAAGTGGTCTCAGATGCGGTTCTGAAATAAGCATTTTAAAATGTTTTCAAAATATGTCTGACACTTTGGAGAAAATCCAGGACTCACTGTAGGGATTATGTATCCCCTCTGGCCTGGGAACGTCTCTGAGTCCCCCAGGACGAGCTGGAAAGTGTCGCTGGGGAGAGCGGGGTCTTTCTGCAGCTGCCCCCGCGACCCGATCCTGGATAAGCCGGCCGGACGGACAATTTATATTGTTAGTCTAAATTCTTACTTTTAAAATTATAACTTTAATTCAAGCAGAATAGCCTATTGTCAACATAATTATGGAGTGTGATTTATTTTCAACTCAAAATATCTTCAAACTAACGAAATATAAAGTTATTAGTGAAGAAAACCCATCTGGATAACAGCAGACTGACTGTACGTAAAATATACGACAGGTCTGGACCACTCGTAAATTTTGTTCGTATCTGAAAAAAATCTTAGAATACGAAAACATTGTTGAATGCCACAAATTCTCCTAAATCACTCGTACGCACAACTTAAGAACAAATCTGTGCGTACGAACGGTTTTTGCATGAGGCCCATTGTCTTCTAAATGATTCCACAGTCTCACTCCTTGAATTGAGGTGCATCGTTCTTTCAAACATGTTCGAAATTTAGGTTTCATGAACATCTCAGTATTAAGATACTGAACTTAAACATGATGTGGTGGTAAAGCAAGCAAGCTCAAGCAAGTTCTTTTTTTTAAATGTCATACAGTATGCATTCCTTCAAGACTTGCTTTTTTTTAAAAAAATGAAAGTATTTCAAAACCTTTTTAAAAATAAGATTCAAAAATGTTTACATTACAAAAGACACAACAACACCATGTTGTAACCATTTATATTTAAATGGTTTAGGATTTAAATGTAAAATTTACATATGTACCTTAAACATTTTTTGTACCGATTGTTGTAAACCTTATAGTCTGACTGGGAACCCATCAAGAAACTGTTAAAGTGGTAAAAATTGGATCCAACACTTGGTTTGAAATAAAACATGCTGTAAATGATACATATAAAGGCTGAGCTGTAGAGTCAAGAATTGTAAAAAAGCACTTTTTTTGCTCGTTTCCTAATAGATATTTTAAATCTCATTTGTTTTTTACAGATGTGTCCTCAGGAACCAACACGTCATACTTACCAGAAGCAGCAGCCATGAAGCCTTACCCCGTGTCTGACACAATGTTTGCTTCACAGCAGCCCGAGTCAAAGGTCACACGAATGTTTTGTGTATTTTCCTCTCATTATGTTAACGGTTTGCCCTTGACTTGCGAATCCAAAATTTGTGGATGTATTTTAAAGAATACCAGAAATATATTGTTCTCCTCCATAAATCCTCGAAGCAAATGTGAATTTAAAATTTTCTGTGCCTCCGAATGATTCCTGTCAGCAACTATGGATGCTTGTTTCCTATTTCCCTTTTTGACGAGTGTTGAAAAGCAGCAGCTGATATCTGCACGTGTCTTGAACAGCACAGAGCAGATGATAAGTGAGGTGAAAGGTGCCCAGAATGAATCCCAGCAGACTTGCAGAAAGATCATACTGGGGCGCAGCGTGCAGCTTTCCACAGTCCAGGAAGCAAACCATGCACACAGTGTCAAAGCACACCATGTGTACTTGTGTAGAAAATGCTTTCTACGCAGCCCAATAAAGCAAATTTCAATTTTCTGTGTTAAATTTCGAATTTAAAGCCATTTTGGCAGATTTCATCCTTAAGCCCAACATGTTGTTTGTTGTTTATTTATATTAAAGTAGAATGAACAATAAAATAAATAGGTGTGGTGGCACGATTTACCAAGAATGCAGAAACACGTTGGAATAATGCCAGAAAAGTCTGCGTGTATGATAATCAAATATGATTTAATTATGAGCGACAAACAAACAGAACTGAATCAGGAAGTTCTGCATGATTGTGACTGACTCGTCAGCAGAAAACAGCCAGTAATATAACATTATGTCATATGTTAACACCATGTGACAGTTTACAACCAATCACAGATTGCCAAATATACTGTCCAGCCTATGACAGGGCTCCCAGCCCAAAGAGTCTGTTATCAAACAAGAGAGTTCAGTCCGTTGCGGAGTCCTGACGTCCGGAAACAAACAGACTACGAGCCGAAATGAGCTATCAGAAAGATACGAGTGATGGACAGTGTCAAGGTGAAACAGATATAAATAATTAGTCCATGACAATCCCTCCTCTTGAGTAAACAATACTCAAAACCAAAAAAATGGAATAATTATGAAACGTCCAAACACAAATATATCACTCAACAAACAGATACAATGGAGAAATAAGGGGAAAATAGTGCAAGTTAAATGATGACCAACAACATATACATTCAATCAATGTAAGATACAACAGGAAAAAAGGCTTAAAAGTGCAAATATTGGCTGGTTGAAAACTGATATTTTCTTTAAAAGGTAGCAATAAAATCCCCATTAAAGTTTCTACAATGTTGCAACGTGTTAAGCTCTGAGAATGAGCAACTGCTTGAGGCTGATCCAGGATCAGATTACATCTTGTTTAAAATGTTCAGTGTGAATCCAACTCTTTAATGAGCGAGAACTTTTTTTTTTTTAATAGTCCAGTTCTTTGTTTTCATTACTGGCACAAAATATTACATCATCTTGAACTTTGTGAAATGTATTTTACCTGTTTGTTGTGGACAAAAGCATTTATTGTATCACTGTGGAAATATTTACAAGCTGCGCTACATGAGCTAATGTTAGTCCCTATAAAACCCACCTGTCTGAGCATGACATGTGAGCTTTACTGCCTTGAAAGCTGTTTTGAACCGAGTGCACAGTCACACATACACCACAGAGCGACACACAAGTTACAAGACATTTATGTTTTAAAAGTGTCATGTTTAAAAAAAAAAAGCTTAATTCAGACTAATATGCTGAGTTAACAGCTAGTTTGAGCAACAATTATTTCAATAGAAATAGTTAATTAGGTGTCCCAATCTGCACCAAAGCAATGCCGCTGTCTTCTAACGATAAGATGTTAATTATTTATAACATTTTTACAGAATCAAAAAATTTGAAGTGTCATCTTGAAACAGGAAAAAAAATCAGCTTAAAGTTGAGCAAAAGATACAAAAATAAAAGCCATTTCCTGCAAGCTGCATGAGCAGACTAATAAATGAAGGCCTAGGCTTACATACAAATAAACAAACATGTTTAGTTTGCTCTGCTGTCTCCAGCAGTGCTGCGTGAAGTAAGACAGTAGCCACTTGAATCATTACTTCAACAGCCATAAACACTGGATTACGACTAACCACTGTTGGGTGCCGGAACCTGGAGACCCACTGGGTCACACACTTGTGCAGGGGGTGTAAAGTTTCAGACCAGTGAGAAACTGGCAAATTGATCTGAGGAGGTGGCATGCAAGTAGTCTGTGTAGAAATGCGAGGGAGAAGCTGTGAAACCAAAATGACCATCTGTCCAACATGGAGGCTGATTTGTGCCGATAAACAGACGTGACCAGACTAATGTTACACAGTAAACTGTCAGGGAAGCAGGAAGGAGCTGTGTGAAAGTGTTTGAACCATTTGTACTTTCAGCCCAAGTTGACAAAGGTCTAAGTGTTGACAGTGGCAGGCTTTTAAAAACAGTTTACAGCTGAACACATAAAACTTCAAGTCTAAAGAGGTTTGATGTTTTTCTAGTTTACTTGCAGGAAACAAAAGGAGTTTAAAACAATAGTTTATACTACATTGAAGTGGAGATTTGTGGGAAGGTTATTAACAATTTAGCTCTGCAGTGTAGAAGACATGTGTCTGTTTGAACAGAAATGTGATTTATTTCTGACTGGAATAATGAGCTTATGGCTTGTCGAGGTCAAAATGAATTGTACTCCAATCCTAATCGTTTTATGGAGGTGAGAACACTGTTTTATAAACCTTTAATTCACTGATAATTTTGCACTACAGATATTTGCATAACATTTTATGTCCGCAATCAAACATGGCTGAATTAACATTTACATTGCAGCCATTCTTCTATCAATAACATTAAATTTCTGCTACAATAGCCCCTTTTTACACTTACCATGTTTGAGTGGAGTGAGTCAGTGTTGTTGAGTTTTCCTTGAATAATTTCCTTGTAAAACATGAGATGTGGCTGCTGGTCCAAGGCAGGATTAGGCTATGCCCCACACCTGGAAATGTCCTCATGAGTTTTTTTCCTCTTTGACCAAAGGTTGAGTTGAGGACTAGGAGCACTCAAAGAACTTCCTGAATTTATTAGGTGTTTTAGGAGTCCCCCGCCTCGTTATAGAGAGTGGGGCACTTTCTCAAAGTGAATCAGTATGATCTATGTGTTGCTGAAATAGGCCTTAATTTCTTTTCAACACTGAGGCAACTGAGAGTAAAAAAATTATAACTATGTGTGCATGGAGCAGATAATGCAAATGTAGTGGCTATTTGGGATGGATCTGGTTTCGGCTGAGATGGTTGTTTTGCACTTCAGTCCTTTAAAGACGGAGACAATCTAGCAAACGTGTGAGAACAACAAAAAAAAAAAAGAAAACTAAAGAAAGGGGTTTGTCGACTACCTCTACTGTTACATAGTGTTTTTAGGCTTTCATGCAAGTCTGTAATAAATTTAAAAACAAACATTTTGAGGTCATGTGACACAAACAACAATATGAATAGATCATGAGTTTTTTCTAATAAGGATGGAGAGTGATTGTGACTGATGAACTGAGTTTTAGATAAACTCTTATATTTTATACTTTGTTACCAGTTAGTCGCTTAGAACCACCAAGTCTCTATTTAATATGTGCCTCGCTACAACAGTGTAAAAATATATTTTTTTTAAATTTCCGGCATACCAATGCAGACACAAGAGGGATAACCTCTAGAAGTGGGACCAGGGTTTTGATAAGTATTATGAGAACATGTGATTTGCAGCTATTTTGTTTAGACTCTGAAGCCACACAAAGGCTCAGAGTGAAATGAATTCTTTATATCCGAAAATAAACATTTAACTAAAAACTTCATATTTTTTTCCGTATTATTTGGGCTTCTGAACAATTCTTTAAACTCTAAACTGAAAGAAAAAAGATCAAATGTCAGGTTTCTGTTGTAAGACCCAAGGATGAAGGTTGACACAAGGACTTCATGAAAGGCTCAATAAATTATTGATAAACCCAAAAAACAGCTAACATGGCAGTTGGTTAAAAATAAATAAATAAACAAACACAAGACTACAAAAATACAAAAGTCACAGAACACTGAAAGAATCACAGAGAGCTCCAGAAAGGATGAAAAACACAATAAGAATTATCAGCAAAGAAGTGAGGATTCAATTTTATGCAGACTAAGGAGGTAAATCACAGCAGCTGAGACTAATAACATAATGAGGAACAGGTGTGACACTAAAACAGAAAACCAAAAGTACTAAAAACACATATAATGACACCAAGCCCGTTTTTAACCAGTGCAGTGTGCTTGTTAGGACAAATGCACAACTTGCTCTTTCATTTTTTTCTTTTCCGTTCAGCTTCAGAGAGGGGACACACAAACACAGGTTGTTGTTTAACTTTGCCCTGCCGAGAGCTCGGTCAAATGTGTGAAATATCCTAAGCTTATCAGCTGACAAGTCTCTAAATCCAGACAAGAAAACTTTCATTATCGCTGCACTTCACCTTTACCAGGGAGCTAATAATAAACATCCTTCTGTGTTATTAGGTTGCATATACCTAGACAGATTTTCAGGTTTTTTTACTTTAAGATGCTGCACAGATTGAGATATTGATTTGATTTGATTTGATTTATTAGGAAAAGATTATTAAAAATCAAGCCTGACTCAGCATAATTGCTGTTTTACAGCAGGTTCTTTTCTGCAGCACATAAAACACTCAGAAATACAGCATCACAATCACATCATTATACACCATAGACACAAAGACAAACAAGCATACCAAATTTCAGGAAGGCAGCATTTGCAAAATAAGACGTCTAAACATGAGCACAACAGAAAGTGTCCAGCAGATGGCAGACAAGATTCTTCTTAAAGGGCTGTAGTTTTGACTTTATGTTTTGAGGAATGTCATTCCATGCTTTAGTATAAACATAGAAGAAAGACCTCTGGCCGTAACAGTTTTTAAAAGTTGGTAATATCAGTTGTCCTTTTGTAACAGATCTAGTTGAATGACCATTTCCAGAATTTGATTTGGGCAACAATGCACAGAGAGTTCCATAATTGGCACCTTGGAAGATCTGAAAATATAAAGTAATACCACTATACAAAACATAATTCTGAAAAGTCAGGGCATCAGACAATGAAAGAACTGTACAGTGATGAGTCCAACCAGGAAGTTTTTTATGAATTTTGTAGGCCCTGTTGTAGAGCCTAACTATGGGTTCTAAGATTTCATTTGTTGTAAGAGACCAAACAGGTAAACAGTACGACATGGTTGAGAGTATAATGGCATGAAGATAGATATTTGAAACAGAAGATGTCAGATTGGATCTAATTTTTGAACAAAAGTGTAATTTCTGTTTTAACTTAGTGGTTAAGACTTGTACATGATCACGATAAGTCAAATGAGAATCCAAAGTAATTCCAAGATATTTGTAGGTAGTGACAATATCAAGGGGTTTGTTTAAAAAAGTGAGTTGATTTGTTATATTGAAATGTCTCGATGAGGAAAAATACATGCACATATCATCTAAACATTTTTACAACTAAATTTAATGTACGAATGTGTAATGTAACTAATCTTTGTCTTATAGCATCATAATCTGTGTGCCGTTATATTCTTGGACATTTAAAAGTGTTAGGATAAACTTGTGACATAGACATTGTGACAACTGAACAGCAGTGGTTTGGAGATATACTTTATGCCATTGGTTGGATTGTTTAAAGGATGGTTTCATTCAAAGATTATAACTTCGTTTTTCTGATTTTCAGCCATTTCCACCTAGAAAGGCTTCAGTAGGTCGTGTTGTTCACATCTGCAACCTCCCCGAAGGCAGCTGCACGGAGAATGACGTCATCAACCTGGGCCTACCCTTCGGCAAAGTCACCAATTACATCCTTATGCGTTCAACCCATCAGGTAGAACATTTTATGTATCATTTTTAAAGAGTTTTATGTTTATTTTGGTAAACATTCATACTTTCAAACTTGTTTTTTTTATAGTTTCAATTAACAGTAGTGATATCTGAGAGTTTCTGTTCTCTCATTAGGCTTTTCTGGAGATGGCATATATTGAAGCAGCTCAGGCCATGGTTCAGTACCACCAACTGACCCCAGCCATGATTAACAACCAGAAACTCCTCATAAGGATGTCTAAGAGGTACAAGGAGCTTCAGCTCAAGGTAAAACTAACATACAAGCTAAACAGCAGACTCTTTATGGTGTTTTAGACGCTAAGCTTGAGTATCTTTTCCTTGTAGAAACCAGGTAAAGATGTACAATCAATCATCAAAGATATCGCTTCACAACGAGAGCGAGATCAGATGCAAGAACTTGAACAGTAAGGTGACCTTCTCCTTTCAGTTTTAACGTCTTGTTTGGTTTCGAAAAACCCCAAAAAGTGATCTGCTTCCTTGTTTTGCTCCAGCTACCTGCCAGAGAGACCTCGCTCCCGCAGCCCCATCAGCCGGTCTCTGACCCCTCATTCCCACAGTCCTAGTTTTACATCATGCAGCTCAGCCCACAGCCCCCAAGGAGCGACCCACAGGGCTCCAGATCGAGGGAGCAATGGGCTGAGTCCCCACCGGGGCTCTTGGGATTGTTTACCACACCTGAGAAGAGCTGAGGATGAAAGGGAGCGAGAGCATTTTTGGAGAAACGGTGGCAGCATGGACGACGATCGACCCAATGGACGAACGTCGGAGCGTCTGAAGACTTACCAGAAATACTCGGGCCATCTCGGTTCGAGAGCCGCAGATGAGAAAGGAAGTGAAGGGATGAGAAGCAGCAGAGACCGTCACCCACGAGACAACCCTCAAGGTTTCAACTCGTACAGAAGCGTGGAAGATGACTTCTACCTGGAGCACGTGTACAAGTCAGACAAGGAACTCAGAACTTCTCACCAACGGCACGATTCAAAGCCCAAGAGGAGGGATGGTGGCAGCTACCATGTTCGGTCCAGACATTCTGAGTTTGAGATGAGCGAGGCGCTGCCAGGCAGGACATCAGAGGACAAGAGGACAAGCTCACCAGGCAAGGACAGGAACAGAAAGATGAGCAGAAGGCACACAATCACAGAAAAACAGACAAAAGAAACTGAAAATACTGTGAGTAACGTTTGAATATGTATTGCTTTCTGCATACCAGCTGGATATTCATCACGTCCTTCTGCCAACAATGGTTTTCCATCTTTCAGGAATCTCTGCTGAAAGAAAAAGCAGCTTCACCTCAGCAAAGTCACAAGTCAAAAGAGGAATGTGACAAAGATAAAGACAATGTGAGTGAGCCTGTGCCTTTTTCCTTTGTTAATAAATCTGTTTTGTTTTGAAGCGCTTCCAGGTCCAAACCTTTTGAAAATTGTTGATAACTAAAGTGATGTTAAACCAATGGGCATGAAACACTGAAACTCTAATTAAATTACATCAGCACTGACCAGGATAAAGACTTCTGCACATAATTTGAAATTTAGTCTAGTTGTGGTTAATTTTAGGATTGTAGCAGGGAAGGTGCATCTAAGACTGTAAAATGATTTAATTGAACTGATTTATTTATTTCAAACAGGTTAAAACGGCTGAAGGATGAACTAAGTGAGGAGAGCAGAGTTAATATCTTTATTCTACCACTCAATAAATTTAATTATCTGTAATTTAATTCAGTTTATCTTTATAGAGCCAAGTCACAAATTAATCTAAAGAAGCCAGATTTTGTGGAATCACTTCGTCTCATTCTCACATCCTGAGCAGCACAGTGGCGACAGTGGAGAGGAAAAACTCCCTTTAAACAGGAGGAAACCTGACAGGTGGCCATCTGCCTCGACCAGCTAGGTTTGAGAGGACAGGAAAGAGACACAAGCTGCGTTTCCACTGACCATGAAAATGCGCAAATTAGAATTTCGAAAATAAATTTGCTCAATGGAAACATGTCAATTTCGAAAAAAATTACGTTTTTCGACAAAATGTTTTTGCACTAGGTCAGATGAGGTGGTATTTCAGCCATATCGAAATTAGTGTTTTTCGCACAACTGCAATGGAGACACTTTTTTCGCATCACGGGAGTCACATGATCAACAACCGGCTGTTTCTACTGGCGAAAAAGACAACGACGAAGAAGATACCAGGAAGTAGAAGTAGTAGTAAAATCACAGAAGTAGTAAATGAAAGTAGTAAACTCGCCGACTACAATTTCCCAAAAACACAGCATACGTAGCCGCTCCAAAGTAGGGGCTTGTTGCTGGAAAGCCTCGATAAAAGACGCCGACGTCTCCTCTGATGATGAGCGCTAGTGTCGCGGTAACAACATGCTATGTGTTTACATCCATCGCCACCATGTTTGTAATGACTTATCACGAGAACAAACATTTTCACGCGTGACTTTAATAGCATTTCTTACTTAATGGAAACACCGCAGTGCGAAACTGTGATTTTTTGACATTAACAGAATATCAACAAAGTTTTATGCACATTTGCAAGCATTTACAGACACACTCAGAAGGACTGGTCCAGGTGTGTTTTCCTCTGGAAAAGAGACAAAGAAAAATGCAAAAATGACAGAAACAATTACAACAACAAACTTAGAGGAGAGTGAAAGACAGCAGCAGAGTGAGGAAATGTGATCGGTTTGTCCTCTAGTCAGGAAACAAACCCTAACTATATGATTTATCAAAAAGGTAAGTCTTCAGTCTAATCTTAAAAGTAGACAGAGTGTCAGCCTCATGGACAGAAACTGGAAGTTGGTTCCACAAGAGAGGAGCTTGATAACTGAAAGCTCTGCCTCCCATTCTACTTTTAGAAGCTCGAGGAACCACAAGTAAACCTGCAGTCTGAGAGTGAAGTGCTCTGTTAGGAAAGTATGGAACAATAGGATGTTTAATATATGATGGAGCTTGGTTGTTCAGAGCTTTGTATGAGTAATATTTTAAATTCTATTCTAGATTTGACAGGGAGCCAGTGGAGAGAAGCTAAAACTGTAGAAATATGATCTCTCCTTCCAACTCTCATTAAAACTCTAGCAGCAGCATTTTGGATTAACTGAAGACTTCTTAAAGAGTTTTTTAGATGTCCAGATAATAAAGAATTACAGTAATCCAGTCTAGACGTGAGAAGTATCGGCCTTCTCAGGACCACAGGTCAACAGCCGACATGCGTGCCTGACATATTTTCTTGATGTTTACTTTTAGGAAAAGAAATTGGAAAATAATGAAGACACAGATGAAGAGTGTTGGTATCCTAAGAATATGGAGGAGCTGGTCACTGTGGATGAAGTGGGAGGAGAAGATGATTCCATCGTTGAACCAGACCTTTCTGAGCTGGAGGAGTTTGTAACCGGCCCCAAAGAGGTTGTCGTGGCAGAACCAAAAGTAAAGCAGGAATCACCAACAGCATCATCTCTGGAAGTACAGAAAGCATCCGAGGAGAAATCTGAGCAAGGGAAGTCCTGGGGCGATGTAGGACAAGTATCTACATGTCTAACTGAGAAAGCAGAGGATAGAGTAACTGCATTGATCAGCAAAGAAGAGAAAAGTCATTCAGTGACTTCTGAGCTACAAGTCAAGGATATTTGTGATTTTCCCAGTGAGGAGTTCAAGGCTGCACTGGAGGAAACCTGCTTGAAAGAGAGCAATGTCTGTAACAATCAGGCTTCAGATGAACCAATGGAAAATCCTATTTGTTTATCAGAGGACAGCAAAAACCAAGAGGACAGACCAGTATTGGAAATCATCCATAATGGAGTACAACAGAAGGATTATGCTCTTAATAAAAAAGGTAAATTTAACGGATTTAGTCAAAGACAATGTCTAAACAAATATCTATGTATTGTTGGTTTTACTGGGTAAATATATATATTTTTTAATTAGAATGATTGTTTTTCTGCAACATTCAACTTTTACTGCCACAGACGTTTTGTTCTTCCTGAAATTCTCCAATGCCTCTCCTAGATATTGAAGCATCATCTTCATCCCTGGAGCAAAACAAAGCCGTCAGTGAACACAGCATCCCTTTGGGTAAACATTACACATTTTGTTACTATGACTTCTACAGTTTAAAAAAAAAACCAGACAATTTGAAGGAAATGTATTCTGTTTATCACTGGGTTTTAATGCATCACACATACTGTTTTATGTTTTAGGTTGACTAGAGCCCTATTCTGACGGGATTAGTTTTACCTAGGGACCCCATATAATAAATAAATTACTCCCCGATGTCTGTGTTTTATGTGGCGCATTCGCACGGGATAACCAAAGCCTGAGATCTTCCTGAAATTTACAGACATCTCCCGAATGTGACATTGAAGCCTTGTTAGTTGTTGTCTATTTAGTTGAACACGGCGTTGAACGGACGTTAAAAAAAAAACAAACAATGAACTTCAAGTTCTCCACTCTTCCCGCTCTCCTCTCCTCCTACTTACAGCAGGCACTGTCATCTCCACGTCCGACAGAACCCCACCCCATCCCCACGTGCAGGTACGAGTGGTGCAGATTTTTTTTAGCAAAAATCATAGATTTTTGAGGCTCATTAGGCAAATGTCCAAAGGGATTGGCATATGTACACCTTCAAGGTGGCGAGGGTGCGCGCGCCAGCCACCCAAAGCGCGCGCCTGCTGCGCTGCGGCCAGAGCTCAACACTCTGCATCAGCCAGAAGGCTACAAACAGAAAAAAAAATTCTTACCGTACAGTGAGCCACCATTTGCATCTGATTTTGCTCCCTCTCTTCAGACTTCTTTTTAAAATTATTGTTATTATTTTTATGGCGCACAATGTGTCGGGTTTTTCCGGCCTGGGACCGAAAAGGTTTTCAGTGCACTCCAATCCAGCCTCCATTCTTCACCAAAAGTAAATAAAAATGCACCAAGAAAACCAAAACCACCTAATTACATATGGGATTCAGTCCATTCCTGTCCAAATCACAGAGATGCCGATTCGCATTGGATTAGTATTATCACAGGACCTTGGAGTTCAGCGAATAATTATAGGCAATTTGCGGGGGAATTTTTACTTAACCAAGTACTGACATGGCTGATTCTCATGGGATTAACAACACAGACTACTCTCTGTAATTATTACAAATAGCATGGGATCCCTAGGTAAAACTAATCCCATCAGAATAGGGCTAAGGATGTATTCTAATTACTCATTGATTTGACTGATTTGATTTGATTTATTGATTTAACAGGAAAAGATCACAAAAAATCAAGCCTGACTCAGCATAATTGCTGTTTTACAGCAGGTTCCTGTTCTGCAGCACATAAAACACTCAGAATTACAGCATCACAATCACATCATTATTCACCATAGACACAAAGACAAACAAGCATACCAAATTTCGGGAAGGCAGCATTTGCAAAATAGGATGTCTGAATATGAGCACTACAAAAAGTGTCCAGCAGATGGCAGACAAGATTCTTCTTAAAGGGCTGTAGTTTTGAAATGGACTTTATGTTTTGAGGAATGTCATTCCATGCTTTAGTATAAACATAGAAGAAAGACCTCTGGCCGTAACAGTTTTTAAAAGTTGGTAATATCAGTTGTCCTTTTGTAACAGATCTAGTTGAATGACCACTTCCAGAATTTGATTTGGGCAACAATGCACAGAGAGTTCCATAATTGGCACCTTGGAAGATCTGAAAATATAAATTAATACCACTATACAAAACATAATTCTGAAAAGTCAAGGCATCAGACAATTATATGTAGGTATCCATTGCTTCTGATTTAAACTGTGACTTAGTGAATGTGCAATCTGCTTTGAGTGGCTTATGTCACAGTCATCTCAAGTAGAATGCGTAGCAGAAATAATAAGTTAACACACTCCTGGGACACTTACAACATATAGTTATTTTATCATTAATCTGTAGAAGGCCTGAGTGAGGATCTGGTCAATTGATTAGGGAGACTGCCCCCACCAGTGTGATGTTTTGAGGTGGGGCCAGATCCTGAAGAAGGTGTTAAAATGAGATTGCATTTCCTGATTCAGGGTCAAAAACGATGATGGAATACAAATCTGTATTTTGGTCCAGCTGGGTTTTGAATGAGTTCTTACCTACAAATAACATTCAAGTCTTATTTGGTATTCATAGTTTTCGACATGCATTGGAGTGACTAAACATGATTTATTTTTCAGCTTCTTAAATTTAATCATCATTTTTGTCATTTACAAGACACCAACAGCGGAAGCTAAATCAAAGATGTATTTGAACACTGAATACGCAGTTATGTGGCTTTCTAATAATTTAGAAAAACTATAAGGTTTTCCAGATTTTGCCTAATTCTTATTAAGTGTCTTCTAAAAGTATCTTAACAGTATTATTACTTATGAGAATAATTGGTCCTCTATAATTTTGTGCCCATGCTGGCAACAATTTATTTGCCCATTTGGTGAATAAAGATAGTTTTCTATTTTCTATCTTTCTATGTTTTCTATCTATGAAATTATGATAATTTGCACTAATGTTTGAAATAATTATAAATACTAATAATACAAGTACCATTGTCCAGTGTGTCCCTGTTAGAACAAATCTAACTGGCAGTACTAGGTTTTAACTTTTCATTTTGCTCAGGTTTAAAAGTTAAATCAATCTGGATTCTTCATCCTCAGAATAAATTGTTTCCCCATACACGATTCTGATGGACAATCTGTTGCATTAGAGCACTAAGTGAGTGGAATGGCTCATCCCAAAGCAGAACTATTTCTGTGAGCGGGCTGTGAGATGCACCCTAGAGGGACGAGTATTAGCATCGGGGTTAGATGACATGCCTGAGCACATGCTCAATGTTTTGTTGCTGCAGCACGGTCACTCGCGTAAACCTAACTGTGCTGCAATAAAAGACAACACACACACACACGTTTGTTCTCCTATACCCATGGGGACTTTGCATTGACTTCCATTCAGTCATTCATAAATTTATCTAATCTATACAATGTAATTTTCTGGGTTTTTTTTTAATAATCTATCTTTCACTGTTAAAATTAACCTACCCTTAAAATTATAGACTGTTCATGTCTTTGTAAGTGAGCAAACTTGCAAAACCAGCAAGGGATGAAATACTTCCACCCGAACCAATGGCTCGGTGGTGTCCCTGTAAAGGACGTCAGAGCTCTCTTTTCCACCTCCTCCATGTACAGGTTTGCAATAATAGGAGAGACTGGGGAGCCCATAGCCAGCCATGTTTCTGCCTAAAGTATTGCCCCCCATATACAGTAATAA